TGCATGCATATTTTTAAGTATTCCATATTATACAAGGTCGTATCTGGCTTATTGACTAAGATTGCCAATACAAGAAAAAAACCCCGAAAACTCTCATTATTAAAGAAATCTCTGACACAAGTCTCCATTTTATCTTCTGAAAAATGTCAGATGAAGAATGATGACACATTTTAGAGGATGAAGTAATGGTGTTTGTGATATAAATCACTTCCTACTTTTTCATTTATTGACAAAGCTTACTTTATATCTCATTATCAAAGGAGTAGACGTCAAAGAACCTGATTGTTTTAAGTACTCAAATATACATTTTTCTCTATAGAATAATCAAAAGTAATATTTTAGATGTAGCACTAATTTTTTAAATGAAATGTCTTCTAGCCATTTAAATTGTATTTGACAATTATTTAATGATGTGAGGTTATAGTCAGTATGAAAAGGGGTTAACATGGAGGTGTGATTTTCACCTAAGGCAGGGAGCAATTTTGTCCCCTACAGGGTATTTGGAAATGTCTGGAGACATTCCTTATTCCACAAGAAAAGAGGTCAGTAGGAGTCTAAAAATTGAATTTGCCTACCAATTTTTAAGCAATTAAGCTATTTGGGGGGAACTTAATGTATTTGTAAATGGACACTTTTAACAAAGTTACCTAGTTGGAGCTCATTACAAAAAGCCTTCAGTGTCAGCCAGTGGTGTGGTGTTTAAGGCAGCGGGATCCCATATGGCCATCTGAGCAGTTTGAGTCCCAGACCTGGCTGTTTGAGAAACAGGCTGGTTGTGTATGTGTGTCCAAAATCCCTAAAGAAGGGAGAAATGGAGGAGAAGGTATTGTGTCATGACCATTGCTTATGGTGGTGCTTTCTCACTTTTCCTTTCCCTTTCTCTTTCTCTGTCTTTCCTGTTAGCATATGTACCTTCTAACAAATTAAAAAAAAAAAAGAAAGAAAGCAGTCTCCATGTCCATTTTTGCTATTGTCTTTGTACAAGCCATTTGCTTTAGTTAACATCTATAAAGCCTTCATATTGTTCAATAGCCAGTCTACAGGGGAGCAATAAAGCTATAAAGCCACTGTCTGGAAACTTAATCCTATGCAAAGAAGAAAGAACAAAAAGAACCCATTCTGTGTCAGTGTGCCCAGTGATATTTATTTCTTATCTGGGTGGGAAGGATTCAAAGCTACTTAGGACATGAGTGACTACAGAGGGAGGTATTCTACTTGCGAAAGGAAATACTGCATTTGTTTTAGTTTTGCTAGTGAAGTGGCTTGGGCTGTTTGGGCAGGTGATGGGGGAAGGGAGAGAAAGAGGGAACCCGGGAAAGATGTAACCAAAGTTAAGGAATCTGTTGTCCAATGGAACCCGAGCCTTCACGTTCCAGTTACAGGTGTGTCATTCGCTCTCATAACTTTGACTAATTACTTTACTCTGTGCATTTTTTTTTCTTTTCTTTTCTTTTTTTTTTTTTTTTTTTATTTGTCCACGGCACATGCGCTTGCTAGAGAGACAGACAGAAAGTGAGAAATCACCTTTTGGCGGGGATGGTCACAACCTAATCTCTTCTCTATGCTTTAGGAATTTGGGGCACACATGCATATGAGCTTGGCGTGATTTTCAAGTGGCCAGATCTGGGCTCAAACCACAGAGTTGGCAATGTGGGATCTAGTCACCTTAGCTTCCATGCCTGCTGGCTGACCCCATTTTTCTTTCAGTGTTTAAAATGATGAATTATTATGAGGATAGTGAGTGAATGCTGGTAAATTGCTAAGGAGATGCCTGACACATAACAAAGGTATTGCTCTTATTTGCCAGAGTGCACAGGGTGGGAAAGACATTAAGCTGAGTATCTTGAAGCTGTTGATTCTTTTCTACGTTATTTGCATGAATAGGTTTCCTCGTATTTTGCCACTCACTTTTCTTTCCACTATCAGCATCTTCTTAGCTAAAATTGTGACTGATAAGTCAGAGTAGCTACCATTTTTTTTTTTTCAGTCATTGATGACAACTCTTGGAACATAAAAAATCTGAAGCTACTGAAAAATGGAAAAACTGGGAACAAACTCCATGGCCTAGTAAAGGGAATCAAACACTACATGACCAACCATGGTTCAAATCCCAATTTTGGTGTCTTGAAACACACACTGAGTATATGTGTGTGCTTCTGTCCAAAATCCCAACAGGACCAAAAAACGGAGGAGAAGGAATTGCAGTGTGACCATGCCCCACAACACTTCCATTAGAATGATAGAATAAATTTCTTTCTTTCTTTCTTCTTTCTTTTTTTTTTCTTTTTTTGCTATAGGGTGAATGCTCTCACCAGAAAGAGAGAGACAAGAGAGACAGAAAGCAACAAATCATACCCCAGGGGGGATGGCGACATTGCAATCCCTTCTTCTCCATTCTCCTCTTGGAATCTTGGGCATGCATGCACACACACATGTCCAGCGTGAGTTTAAGCCACCAGGCTCATGACTCAAACTGCAGCCAACTACATGGGAGTCCAGGGACAGCCATTACGCCAAGAATGATAGAATAGATTTCTTACTGAACACATATCAATAGGAAAAAAAATGTTATTCTAGCCATACATCAAGTGACCAGTAATTACTAAGCACATAGTAGAACTTCTTGAAACTTCATAAAAATAGTCATACAATATATTTAATAATTCTCATTTCACCTATGAAGACTGTGGATTCAGAGAGCGTCTTTGGGATTTCATAGAAGAACGCAGAAACAGTGGCCTAGAACAGAGCCTCAGAGCCAGGAAGTGCACTGTTTCCCTCATACCAGTGGCCCTCTGCTCCAAACCAGCTCATCCCACGAGTCTTATCAAATATGTTTGAATTTCAGGATTCTTAGAAAAATAGAAAGTTGTGTATAGGAAGAATAACACATAAGCCATCATGCACTTGGCATTCATTCACCCTTTCATTCATTTACAGTTTAGCTTTTTCTAGACAAGACTTTATATGGCAATCACAGTTATTTATTTTGCCATTATCTTGCAGGACCCTGAAGGAATGGATAATTGTTGAGAAGCTCATGGCATTTTTGGGTGGGAAGTAGTCTCAGGAAGAGAGGAAAAAGGAAGAAAGGCTGAACAGAAAAAGAGAGAGGCACTTCACCCTTATTTGACCTCTGGCCTGGGACTGGCCATAGTTGAGAAAGGGCACACTGACATTCTGAGGGAAGCATGGAGGTAATCTAGCATGAACTATGAATATTTAGAGTAGTAAAGCAGGCAGATTGAGGTTTAGACGGACTGCAGCCATTTTGAAATTAAGAAAGGCCTCTAAGACCAGCAGTTAGCGTAATGGCTATGTCACTGGACTCCCATGTAGTCGACCGTGGTTCACGACCGGGTGGCTTAAAACTCAAGCCGGGCACCTGTGCATGCGTGCCCAAGATCCCCAGAGGATAATGGAGGAGAAGGGATTGCGGCCTGGCCATCCCCCCTGGGGGGTGATTTCTTGCTTTCTGTCTCTCTGTCTTTCTGGTGAGCGCCCGCGTCCTATAGCGAAAACCTCTCCAAAAAAAAAAAAAAAAGAAAAGAAAGGCTTCTAATGAAAGCAATGTGACCGAGTGCTGAGTCATGGGGAGATCTGTCTGAAGAATGGTCAAATGAGAAACCAGGAATGGGAATTTGAAGGAGTCAAGATAATTACTCAGAGGAACGTGATTGACTGTAGTAAGCAATGATTTACATGTGCTTGTATCTCGTACCTATAAATACTGAGAATATGTTTTGTTTTATTTTATTTTATTTTATTTTTTTGCTAAGGGTTCGTGCTTACTAGAGAGAGAGAAAGACACAGAGAGGGAAAGTAAGAAATCATCTCCTGGGAGGATGGCCATACTACAGTCCCCCTCTTGGGATTGTGAGCATGTATGCACACATGCCCAGCGTGTTTCAAACCTCTGGGTCCAGGCTCCAATTGCAGCTAGCCATGTGGGAATCCAGTGCCTTACCCACCATACTACCTGCTGGCCCCGATGTTTAGCTTTATTGAGAAAATTTGGTGGTGTTTGCTGACTCTTCCTATATCCTGGCCACAGAAATACACTCCCTCTTTAGCCTCTGCTTCTTATTCCATTGACCATGGGTAGAAGCTGTTGGTCTTAGTTTTCTGGTAACAGTAGGGCCACATAAACAAATGAAATAATCTTGTTTGGTTGGTAGCTCTATTTCAGATGTTAAATGATGTTGGCAGAACTGTGGGCCAAGAAGCTTCTGAAATGCCAGGTCAGATTACTAAAAAGGACTCAGGGAACAGCTCTTCTGAGAGAAAGATTAAAAAAAAAGTCTTGCCCCACCCAAGAGCTTATAGAATTGAATTTGACAGTTCTGTGCACTCTCTCATGTTGCTTTAGACATATTAATCATTCAAATCTTATTTCATAATACATTTTCTCCTAAATTGGGTTTCCATTGCAGAAAGGATTTGTTTTATAAATGTTTCCCTTTTTGATACTATAAAGTTGTAGAAAACGATAAAAAAAATGGGGCCATCAGTCAATAAATGTGGATTTGGTTCCTTTTGGTCTAAATTTGACCTAAATAAACTACATGCCTGTGAGAAAATTATTTTCAACCCAGGCAACATCTTTTAACTCTGATTTGAAAACAAAACAAAACAAAACTTAAAATGGACACTAGGTGGTGCTCACACCACGTTTCTTACTGACCGCTCCAAAGTTAAATTTTAATCAAGGTTATCTGAGGTTTCTACTTGTTGGGTTACTACTTCTACTACATGTGCTGCTCAGGATTACTGCAAAACCAAGCAGCAAATCAACGATAACCAAATGCTTTCGTATTTCACACACGAAGTTTTCAAACAGCAATTTCAAAATGAATTTATGTTAGAAAGTGTGCCAATCTTTGGTTATTAATTTTTTAGGATAACCTATGTTCTTAGTCACCAAAAGAGGACACTCTAATACACCTTAAAAATGCACTTAGGCATACAAAGGCTACAACTTTTTGTCTATGTAGCAAAGAATTACTTTCTTGTGTGTAACAGGATCGACTGGATCTTTTTTATTTTGATTTATGACAGCTGTGCACAAGTGTTTTATTCATTATAATCAAATTACAAATAATTGTGAATTCTCTGCCATTTCAGATTTAAAATAGACTTTTGATGTCTTTCGAGTTAAAAGCACCGTTTTCTATTGTGGCTTTTAGACTTCGAAAAGCCCAAGCACCTTAAGCCCAAGTAAATGATGTGTGAATGTGTGGCTTCATTCTTGATTTAATTAAAATTTCTTTTATCGCTGAACAATTTCTTCTTCCACTTAGGAAAAAGATGGGTTTCATGAAAACAGGATGGGAGTTAACTAGGTAATTATTTCTGGTCTTCCAAGGGCAGGAGGGGAAATAGGGGGAACTTTTCCCACAAATCCGAGCGCATGTCGTGTGGGAAAGCTGAGTGCACAAAGGGGATCTCTGGCCGAGGAGTCTTGGCAGGGCGCTGTGGGGGTAAGAGGCCCGAACACAGCTTCTGGTGTCTGCAGTACGACTCCCTTTCCCCATTCAGACTCAGGCCCTGTGTAGGAAGGTAACCAGAGAAAAGGACAGTAGTCACAACTAACTCTTCACCAACATTAAACACTGTTCCCATTGTTTTTTGTATGTTAATTTACTGACCTGTCACAGCAATCCTGTGCCTGAAAAGAAAAAAAAAAAAAGGAAAAGAAAAAAAACACAAGCACAGAGAGGAGTCCTTGTCCAAGGTCACTCTAGTAAATGGCAATATCAGGTTCCGAGCCAAACGTTATTTGGCTGATTCCAGAATCTGGACTTTAAACCACTAGCCCAGGCCATCTCCCCACACGAGGGCAAACACTCATACCGTGATGGCTCCCTGCCAAATACTGTTACAAGGGCTTCACCACATGAACTCTTTCCATTCTCACAATAGCTCCATGACGTGGGTGTTTTCATTGTCCCCATTCTACAGCTGAGGAGACTGAGGTACAGATCAGTTGGAAGCTCAAGGTGATGAATGCAGTGGAAGGTGTGCTTACAGACAAGGCTGCCTCTAATTAAAGTCTGTTTGAAGGCTCCTCAGCAGGCCAGGGCTCAGCAGTGATCCCACCCCCACCTCCTCTGCTTTCCCATGGGTTTCACTTACTTCTATGGATGCGGGCCTCCTCTGGGCTGCCCTGAACAGCACAGCCTCTATTTTAAGCTTTTGCTTTAAGCGTGCAGATAAACTTCTGTTCTCGGCAGTGCTCACACCACATTACTGACCTCTCCAAAGTTAAATTTTAATCAAGGTTATCTGAGGCTTCTACTTGTTGGGTTACTACTTCTGCTACATGTGCTGCTCAGGATTACTGCAAAACCAAACAGCAAATCAACAATAACCAAATACTATCATATTTCACACACGACGTTTTCAAAAGGCAATTTTGAAATGAATTTATGTTAGAAAGTGTGCCTGACCTGTCACAGCAGTCCTGTGCCTGAAAAAAAATAAGTAGGATGCTAAAAAACAAAAACAAAAACAAAACAACAACAACAAAACCTGTACATTTGTACATGTGTGAAACTATTGGGTCTTCGGGAAAATCGTGATGTGTTTTTCTATGCAAAAATGTGTCACAACTTTTCTGATGACCCAGTAAATGCAGAGGGAGAACAAGACACACTTAACTTGGTCTGCATGGAAGGCTCCCTCCTGAGATAGTGCAGATTTGCAAAAAGGTTCTGGGATAATTTCATAACTGCCCACCTTCTCCTCCGCACCAGCCTGCCATCTTCCTACCAGTCTTCCCCTTTGTCTCTCAGCCAAGACGTCCTTGGGTTTCCGCTTGAGGTGTTTGTCCCTCCCCAGGAATGAACACCTTGAATGGTGTCACTCTTCTGGTGAGAACACCTGCTTTCTCACAGCAAGGGAAGTCTGGTGATGGGGCAGAAGATAGTGTAAGGGGGAGGTTGCTCCAGCTGTGGACTCAGACCTAGTGAGATGCCATATTACTTTGCCTATTAGCAGAGAATGAGGCCCATTCGCTGGATGACTGTGTTACCAAGAGTCACAGAAGATCCAAAAGAGGAAGAGTGATTCTTTTCCATTCACTGGTTCTTTTCAACACAAGAGCTTTTAATTTCTTGGAACTTCTGTTTTCTTACATGCAGAAGTTATTAGAGTCCTCTAAATATTAGGTCATCAGAAAAGTCGACGTACTTTTTCAATGTTTTTCTATGCAAAATTGCACCATGACTTTTCTGACAACCCAAAACTACCTAATTCTGACTTTTTAACTAATTTTAAAAGATATTTTGGAGGGATCAGCAGTTAGCATAATGGTTATGTCGCTGGACTCCCAAGTAGTCGACCGCGTTTCGCGTCCCAGATCCGGTGACTTGAAACTCATGCCGGGCACGTGTGCGTGCGTGCCCAAGAACCCAAGAGGAGAATGGAGGAGAAGGGATTGTGGCATAGCCATCCCCCCTGGGGGGGGTGATTTCTCGCTTTCTATCATTCTGTCTCTCTGTCTGTCTGGCAAGCGCACACGCCTTATAGCAAAAACCTCTCAAAAAAAAAAAAAGATTTTTGGGGGATGGAACCAGCAGTTAGTGTAATGGCTATGTCGCTGGACTCCTGTGTAGTCAACTGCGGTTCAAGTCCTGGACCCAGTGGCTTAAACTCACACTGGGCGCGTATGCTTGCATGCCCAAGATCCCGAGAGAAGAATGGAGGAGAAGGGATTGCGGCATGGCTATACCCCCTGGGGATGTCTCTCTCTCTGTCTTTCTGGCAAGCGCACGTGCCCTATAGCAAAAAACCTCTCCAAAAAGAGAAAAAAAAAAGATATTTTGGGGGAATAAAACTGATTATCAGCAATAGTAGCATATGTATTTTTAACTTGCACATACATTTTCTTAAATTAAATTAAATTTATTTATTTTAATTTGACCAGAGAGGGACAGAGAGAGAGAGAGAGAGAGAAAACAAGCTGCCAAGTTCAGGACTTAAACCGTGGTCAGCCGTGTAGGAGTCCAGCACGCTTAACCACCATGCCACCTGCTGGCCCTTTGCACATACATTTTTGTTTCTTTTCATTGTTTTTAAAGTTTTTGTGTGTGCCATTCTTTTCTATTTTCCAGCTGAGAGGAGACAGAGTGGGCATTGTGCACCCAGTGTCCACAACTGTGCACTCAACAAATGAGCAGTAGCATTTCTCTTATTGAAGGACTGATCAGAATCCTACAGCAAGTGAAGCTATAAAAAATTTTATTTTCCCAGTTTAATTCATTATGTGTATGTTGCCTGCCATCCTAAAGCTGTCCTCACTCTTTTCTCACTGCTTCTCCAAGATGTGGAAATAGGCAACTCCACACTGACACATGTCAAACCAAAGTAACAGCTGTAAGCAGTTCTAAGGAAGAGGGGAGGTTATTGGTCTGGTAAAGCTAACATCAAATAAGGGTCGGCCTCTGGGGCGCACAGAGCCACCAGCAGCATAGCCAGATGGCAATGACAATGTGTCCACTGACCCTGGAAAGGCTAAGCTCTTTTGTACTCCTACAAAAGAGTAAAAGGATTATAGTACACATAGTTGGTTCTGAGAGAGTTTACACTGGCACGGATAACAGAAGGGTCTTACAGAGATGGGGGAGGAGACAGGAGTGGCCAAGTTCTATCAGCAGGAGCTGTCTGAAGCAACTTAATGGCAGTGATGTCGCTGGTTCAGTAGGATACATGATGAGCCTAAGGGAGACTGAAAACCTAGAATTATGCCTAGAAAGAATGTCTTGTGACAGTCACACCGTAAATAGGGAGCAACTGCAACCCGTTAGGAGACTGGTCAGCTGCCTCTTTTCCTTATACTTCTCTAGCCATTATTTTAGAAGTTTGTACAGCAATCTGTTCTAGATCAATTTTATCTTTACAAGTATATGTGACCTACCTATGTCACATGTGTTCCAGCTTGCTATTTTTGGTACAAGCCACCTCATCTGAGTGGCCAGGAGCCATAGGACATTCCTCTCCATGTCATAAGACTTACACTCTTTGAAATAATCTTTCTAATCTTCCTTACCCCATAAAGTCTCTATTTTTAGGTGGTTCTGGAGTAACCAGAGAGAAAGAGGCAGAGGGAAATAGGTATTTTTGACAGTTTCTCTCCACATCAGGATCTTTCTGCCCCAGCCACCCAGTTAGCTAGGATTGCAGGCATGCTTATCTGTGCCTCACATGTTCAGGTTGGCCCTGGAACTGAACTCCAGACTCCCACACAGCTTCCAGCCTTCTGAGCAGTACACTAGTGTGTACCACCATGGCTAGGTCTGGACTTAGCCCATTGGATGGATGGTCAGAGAGAAAAGAGAGGAGGGGAACTCCCAGGGACAGCCTTCCTGGATGTTCTTTTAGAATGCCTGCTGCTTCCTCACCTCAGACGTTGGGCAGCAGTGGCACATGGTGAAGGCGAGACAGGCTAAGTGGCACCAGCGTGGTAATCGGGTGGGATCACAGAGGAAGGAGGAACCCAACTGGGCTTAAGAATAGCTCAATATGGTTAGCATGAAGGTGCAGAGAGGAGTAGTTGGAAGAATGAGAAATAAGACTGGAGAAGAGATTCTAGAGAACTGGGAATGGCAGGCTGAAACATAAGGACCCATCTGGTCAGCAACAGAAAAGCTCAAAGCCTTCCTTTTCTTCCTTGAGTAGTTAAGCCATCCAACTCCTTATTTCTTGTAAGTCAAAAAATAAAAATAAGAATCTCCTACCTTGTTCTTAATCAATAAATGTGAAAAGAGTGGGAACTCACAAAAACTGACTCTGTCAGAAAGATCTGCACATGAGAGAACGAGACCTGGAAGTTTAAGAAACCTCAGTCCTCACAAATGACCGCTCAGCACTCATACACTCTCCTTCCAGAACACTTGAGGCATTTCTTGCATGTCTGACATATCCTAGCTGGTAATCTGCTACAAAAGCAACCTCTCTCCAGATCTAAGTTTCCTTCTCTGTTCGTTTTTTGGCATTGTTTTAGGAAGAGCATTTCAAATCCCCTCGGCCTTTGGAGAAAGCAGGTAGGCATGGAAATTATATTCTCAACCATTGTTGATTCTCCATTTCTGCATTTTAATAAGCCAGGACCCAACCCTGCCCCAGTAGCATAAGTGAGCAGAATTCTCATATTCATGAAAGGTCGACCATTACTTTTCTATAAAAGGAATGAACAGTAACCAGATGGTAGTTGACAGGCCAACTTTAAAGACAAGTATTTATTTTGATCTTCTTCTTACGACAAAGAATATTAGATAATTAATAGAAGAATGGAGAATAGAAAAGAAATAGTAAAGGAAAAGAAATACTAACATGTGGAAAATAATGTACATTGGAAAATAAGGGAGAGAAATTTAACCAGTTCTAGAAAAATATAAGATGAGAGAAAATAAAAATAACTGTACATCTTATACCATATGGTTGCTAGGAACCTAACTAGGGGTGATTTTCTCTGTACTAGATAATGGTTGAGAGACTCTGAATTTAGTCTCTTGGCTGTAGTAATAGCAACAGGGGAACAAATCTACATTTTAGGCACAGTAGCTATGCATACCATATTGTTTGTTCTGTGCTTCTAATAGCAGAAGTGGTCACTATCAACAATTTTGGAGGATAATGAGAGAGGAATGACAGGATTGAAACCAGTAACACAGTCAGGGTGAGGCTTTTGGTAATCAGATTAATCCAGGCTGGCACATGAGTGTGTGTAACACCAAGCCACGTTCCATGGAAAAGTAAATTAGGAAAGTGGCTCAAAGCTCATTTGGCAATGTGAGATCATTTGTATAGTTTGCCCAGTCTTCTGTTGTGAGCCAGTTTTGTTGTTGTTGTTATTGATGTTGTTTGTTTCTTTTCATGAAAAGAACCTGGTCCACTTGAGGTCTTGTGCTGTTGTACAGAGAGAAAGTTTCATATTACAAAGCAGTTCTTTATTTTCCGTTAGTGGGGAGCCCCTATGGATCCTTTTATCACTGCTTTCCTTTTAATCAGAGAATGATAGAGAACAAAAAAAGCTTTACTTCTCCCATTTTAATTTGTCTTTTTTACAGTTTACTATATTTTACTATATTTCACAGGAAGATTTAATGTTACATTACTATCAATAAACTGAACTCAAGAACGTTTTTCCTCTTGTATATTTTGGGCAGGGTTCTTGGTGTGTGTGTGTGTGTGTGTGTGTGTGTGTGTGTGCGCATGTGCTTGCGTGTGTAGGA